CTCCTCCTCCTCCTCCTCCCACTCCTTCTCCTCTTCCTCCTCCTCCTCGTCCTCCTCTTCTTCTACGCCCCCTCCTCCTCCTCCTCCTCCTCCTCCTCCTCCTCCTCCTCCTCCTGTCCCTCCTCCTCCTCCTCCCCTCCTCCTTCTCCTCATCATCCTCATCGGGAGATTGGATCGGTTCGGAACGCGTTTCGGACCATGCCGCATCGGCACAGAGTCGGAGTCGAATCTGGATCGGCTGGGCCAAGATGGATTAACATCGCCATGCGAACATCGGGCCGAATCCCATCGGCAGGCAATGGGAGTCGGAGCGGATTGAACCGGGTTAACTCGAAGTCGAATCTCGGCGGCGCGCCCAGGGGGAAGCGGGAAGGACAAGGCCTTCTCAGGAGGCGGCGGGGCTTCTCCGAAGCCCTCTGGCCTCCTGAGAAGCCGTGTGTGCCTTCCGAGAAGGCTTAGAAAGCCTTCCAGAAGGCCGGAGGCCTTCCCTTTCCTTCCGAGAAAGCCCGCCCCCTCCTTCGGACTTCCCCCTTGGCTCGCCGCCGGGAGTCGGACGGATCGAGTCCAGACGGGACACGGGCCCCGCCCGGCGCGGGCCACGGGCCCCTGCCTCGCGCCCCGTGCTGCGCGACGCTCGGCGAGGCGGCTCCTCGTGTCAGGCCCTCGCGCGGCACCGCGGAGGGAAGGCACGAGGCTCCCGCGGGCCGCGGCCGACGCGCGCGGCAGGACACAGGCGGCTCCTCGTGTCGCGCCCTCGCGCGGCACCGCGGAGGGAAGCACGAGGCTCCCGCGGGCCGCGGCCGACGCACGCGGCAGGGTACGCTGTACGTGGCACCCCGCACTCGCGGCTGAGCGTGAGGCGGGCGCGGGTTGGGTCGGGGGTGGGGGCCGTTCCTGGGTCGCGGGATATGGGTCGCGAGGCAGGCCGCGGGTGGGCCGCGGGGTGGGCCCCGGGCGAGGACGACGCCGACGCCACAACACAGCGAGCAGCATCCGCTGGACGGAGCGCCACGTCTGCCACGCACCGAGGGGCCGCGAATGACCGTTCGGCCCCCCCATCGCTCTGGTAAAACCGTGAATCTCAGGGTCGAGTCCCGATGTTAGAGGCCTCTCAGATGGGCTCCGCGCAGATGGTGTCGGAGGATCGCGCCGCATCGCCGATACATCGGCGGTATCGGCGATGCACCGGAGACGCCCGCGTGGAGAAAGTCGGGCTCGAAATCGAGCCGCATCGCCGATGCATCGACGATACGGCGCGATCCTCCGACCCCATCTACTCGGACCCCAGCCAGGAGGCCTGGAGATTTCTTACGAAATGTGGAGCTCTCCAGTGTTTGTGTTGCACGATTGCTACAAGCTCATATGCGAGTTGTGGTTTCCTGAATACTACTCGCTGAAAGAGCTGAATTTCCTGAGGTGCCCCGCACTTCTGAGGGGGCCCCTGGGGCCACCACTGGATAGGACACTTACGCGGAGCACCTGCTGGCAGGCTGGTGTCTCTTTCGACGGGCCTGTTGCACCAAGATCCCCGACATCCGTCGCCTTCAAGAATGTGGAAGAAGAAGAAGTCATCATCGTCGTCATCGTCCTCCTCCTTCTCCTTCTCCTCATCGTCGTAGTCCTCGGCGTCGTTGTCGTCGTCGTCCTCGTCCTCGTCCTCGTCGTCGTCGTCGTCGTCGCCTTCGTCGTCGTCATCCTTGTCGCCTTCGTCGCCGTCGTTCTCGTCGTCGTCGTCCTCCTCCTCGCCGTCGTCGTCGGCGCATTGCCGTGGGAGAGCCGCGCCCCGAGCTCCCGAAATCCCCGGCCCCACGCGGGGCCTCAGCAGCCCTACAGGCCGGCCCCGCGAGGGAGCCCCGGGGGGCCAGCAGCGGGCGCAGCAGGACGGCCACGGCCGCAGCAGCCGCGCACCTCCCCTGGGAGGCCACTGACTACTGGGAGGTCCTCGCCGGAAGGATTGAGGAGGACGGAACCCCTGGGCGAGCAACGGCATATGTACATGTACGCCCTCCGCGGTCCTGCCTGCACGAACGTCCGCGTCGAAGCGCACTCCAGGGGAAATATTAACCGCGCACGTGTACATATGTATTGCTGGCCTCTGGGAATCCCATACTGAAAAAGATGAGACCGCATTGGGGGGCTGCTGCGCCGGAGTGGGCCTCGGATCAAGCGGGATGCGCCGGGATGAAGCGGGATTGAGCGGGAGCAAGGCTGGATCAGGCAGGAGCGCGACGGACGAAGCGGGATGTCGGACCAGGGCCAAAGCAGACTCAGACTGCACCCGGAGCTGCCCAACGAGCTCCGGCGCCTCGAAAAACGCCAGACGGAAGGGTGTCGTTCAACAGGGCCGAACCTAAACGGTGTTCTTCGTTTTCGTTTTGGCGTCGCTTTCCCATGGTTCGTCTCCAATGCGCCTTTGCTGCCAAACGGCATCGAAACGAAAACGAAGCCCCCAAATCGCCAAAACACGGATTGGGTCCAGCCCTGTCGTCCAAGCCTCCCTCTCCGGGGCCCTCGCCTGGCCCCCAGAGAGGCCGTCATAAGACAACGAAAACGAAGCCCCCCAAATCGCCAAAACACCGCTGAGGTCCAGCCCTGTCGTCCAAGCCTCCCTCTCCGGGGCCCTCGCCTGGCCCCCAGAGAGGCCGTCATGAAGAGAATGGCACACCATATCGCTCAAACACCGCTTAGGTCCAGCCCTGTCGTCCAAGCCTCCCTCTCCGGGGCCCTCGCCTGGCCCCATAGAGAGGCCGTCGGAAGAGAACGCGGCACAGGAGGACAGGGCTGGGCCCGGGGAGCGGGTGCGCACCTCCTGGGGGGGGGGGCGCCTTGAGCAGCTCCAGACAGCGGCCGTCGGGGCCCGGCTTTCTTTCAAGGGGCCCAGGAGCACACGAAGACACAGCCACAAATCCCCAGACTCGAATTCTTGTTCCCTTATTTTTTCTGGATTGCCGTTTTCCCCCCCACTTTCTTAAAAGGGGCCCAGGGACACACGAAGAAACAGCCACAAATCCCCAGACTCGAATTCTTGTTCCCTTCTTTTCTGGATTGCCGTTGTCCCCCCCAGGGAATCGACGATGATTTGTCTGTGTGTGTTTTCCCCTCCCGACTTTCTTCATTCCCCACTTCTCTTCCCCGAAGAGGACGTTCCTGTGGGGAGTGGGCCAGCTCAGGATGGGACACAATGACCTGCTGCCCCACCTGGGCATCTCTCCCTTCCCCCTGAGGGGCCCTCGTAGGACGTGCCCAGCCTCGCACATGAAGATGGCCACCCAATCCGCGAGGCCGACCTCGTGTTACGAAATGCGTCGTTTCGAACCAACGTGGGTTCATGTACATGTCCGCACTTCTCTCGTTCTTGCCCCCCCCCCTACCTCTCTCCTGAGGGGCAACGATAGGGGGGGGAGGGGCTTCAGGGGGGAAACATCGACCTGGAATCGGCGACACATCGCCGATAGATCGGCATAGTGATTCCGCACGTTCTTGGGCAGGTTGGGGCTATCGGGCCCGTATCGGTGATCAATGGGCCATTAAGAGTCGATGCGTCAAACATTGGCGCCCCGCGCGAGTTTCTTGGATCTGCGCTGGACCCCCCTCCCTGGCGCGCGGAGCGCGCCGGGTGCAGCGCTGGAGCCGCCGCTGGGGGGCCCACCGCGGATCCAAGAAATCCGCGCGGAGCGCCAATTATCTATGTTTATGCCGCTGTTCCTTCTTGACTATGTGGTCATCCTCAGACATTCCAAATCGTGAAACAAAAACTTCTCACTTTCCGCATCCGCAAAGCGCGCCACGTCCAAGGGAACATCGGGGCTTCGAGCGCAAGCTGCCCAAACAGTGATGCAAGAGCACTCTCATGTCCTATGTCGCAACCACGCAAGAGAGCAAACGTCGACCACGTTCGTCCTGAGGGCAGCGTCGCTCGTCCGACCATACTCGAAGAAGTTCGTCGACTATGCCCGCTTACCCCCTATCGTTGCCCCGGATCTCCTCCCCCGCTCCTCCTCCCCCTCGCTCCGCTCTCCCTCCCGTCCTCCTCCTCCTCCTCCATCCCTCCTCCTCCATCCTCCTCCTCCTCCTCCCCTCCACCTCCTCCTCCACCTCCTCCTCCTCCTCCTCCTCCTCCCCTCCTCCTCCTCCTCTCCCTCCTCCCTCCACCTCCTCCTCCTCCTCCTCCTCCTCCTCCTCCTCCTCCTCCTCCTCCTCCTCCTCCTCCCTCGGCGGGCCGGCGCGGGGTGCCCGCGGGCCCGCGGTCGGCCCGCGGAGGGAAGGGGCTGCGGCGTCCTCCAGCGTGGTCTCGAAGGCCTGCTCCAGGGCTTCCTCTCGGGCGACGACGGCGAGGACGACGACGACGGCGACGGCGACGTCGACGACGGCGACGAGGACGACGAGGACGACGAGGACGACGAGGACGACGAGGACGAGGACGAGGACGACGAGGACGACGAGGACGACGAGGACGACGACGACGACGACGACGTTTTACAGGTGTCCAAATATCCGAGGCGAACAGCGCTCCCCACGCGGGCCCGCAGAAGCAAGTGCAACCACTTGAGGAAGATGAAGATTAAGAGGATTATGAGCACCGAAAGCGGTGATTGGCGCAAGCCGCCCGTCGGGAACGCCCGACAGAAAAACCGAGAGACGTCCTTGTCGACAGCCGCCCGTCGGGAGCGCCTGACACAACCCAGCCGCCCCCATTTACTGCGCGGGCGTTGCGACGACGCAGGGGCCGTCAGCCTCGAATTTCGAGATCGGCTCGGATCGGAGCATGCGTCGAATCGGACCGCGCGTGGGCAGCACATCCACCGATCGGGGAGAACCCCCACCGAAACAGGGCGCAAATGCCGCCTGGCTTCGTGACTGCACGCGCCGCCTCTGCACGAAGGTGACCCGCCGCTGCTCCACGGGCCGCGATCCACGTCTACTGCTTGTCGACAGACGGCCTGGGAAACCCACCTGGCTCCGACCCTGAGGTCCGACGATGGGGAAAAGTTGCAACTGCGCGAAAAAGCGCGACCAGAGCCCTGGACCCCATTTTTCTGCTGCACCCTTCGGGTCGGATCGATCTGTGACAGCCCTGAGGCCGAAACCCGAGCGAAAACTTCTCCCGTCGGCGGCGAGGCAGAGGCAGTCCGCTCCAGCGTGTGGCTACTCGGGGCAAGCGAAGCGCTAACTGGACGGCGTGCAAGAGGGAGGTAAAAGGCGAGGGCGGCCGCGCGGGGGAAGCAAAGAGGGAGGGGAAATCGCTCAGACGTGGAACAGTTCCGCGTAAAGCAGGCCAGAACGGCCAGCCGAGGCAGCGGTTACCGTGGCAGCGGCCAAAGCCGAGGTCAGGCCGCACTCACGATTGCTGCCAGGGCGCAGTGACGATGGCGAGCAAATAGGAAACCATCGAACCGGGCGTGAAGTATTGAGCAGGGACCGACCGTCCGGGCATTCCTTTAGACCTACTACGAATGTTCTTAGAACCCACAGATCCCACAGATGTTTTAATAACCAAAACAATATTCTTAGAACATGAGCCCAATGTGTTCAAAAACAAGACAACATCTGCCAGAAATGCTCGTCTAAGAACACTTCGCGCAGACCACAAAAAGTTCTTAGAACATTCTTTGTGGGTATATACGCAAACCCCCAAGGCCGTGATCTTTTCACGACGGCGACCCCCAGAAATCCAGACCCCTTCCCCAGGACCGGTTTCTCATCCTGCGTCGATTTTGGCGGCCCCGAGGCCCAACAAGGCCCCCCAGAGGCCGAACATGGAGAACCCCCCCCGTCGCGAATTGTCCAAGACGCGAGGGCGTCTGGCAGGCCAGCCAGGACGCCTCGCCACTGCTTGACTCCAACCCCCGGTGTGGACACATCGCACCGCGCCGAGCAGCACGGGGTGCCATCGGGAGCGGCCAGGAGGGGGGTGTCCAAGAGGGGGGGTGCAAATCATGACCGGCGGCACGTGCGCGGCCCAGCGGGGGGGCCAGGGACGCAATGAAACAAGAAGAGGCGCCAGGAGACCTGGGGGAAATATCATGCCCCCCGCCATGATTTGGGCGCCCGAATTATCCGGGGTAACTCGGGTCCAGGGTAACTCGGGTTTGGATTCCCGGAAAAAGGAACCCGAGTTAGCCCTGACCCGAGTTACCCCTGATGATGTGGGGCTCTGGACGCCCGAATTATCCGGGGTAACTCGGGTCCGGGGTAACTCGGGTTCGGATTCCCGAAAAACGAACCCGAGTTAACCCTGACCCGAGTTACCCCTGATGATTCGGGGCCCCCGCCATGATATCCCCCCCCCCCCCTAGTCATCACCC